GTCCCAGCGGCCGCCAACCTCAAGCCCAAAGGCGACCAGTGCGGCACCTCCTGCCGCTGTCGAGCTCGGGATAGGTTTGCCTGCGCTTGCGCCTGGCAGCTGTGCGCACAGCAAGGCCTGGCTGGGTCTCTGTGCCGGGTGCAATCTGCCATCCCGAGAAACTCTGAAACTCTTCTTGGCCAACCCCGCGTATGCTGTTGGGCAAGCCCGGACCACCAGGCCGCACAAGGCCGGGCGACACTAAGCGTTCCAACGAAGTGCCGACCGAACTCGACGCAAAAGCTTTAGCGGAGCGAAGCCGCGAACGCGCCTGCGCTAAAGTCCGCCAATCCCGTGCCAGGCACGTCCTCACGGCGGAACTCGCACCGGGCACTGAGCCACATGTAGGCCACATGGGCGGCACTGGCCGATCCAGCCAATCGCCCGCCCGAGGCACGCGAGACACCACCACAACACCCGCTCCACCAACCTGAGCAACCTGTCCGCCTCGCTTCACGCGCAGTGGCCGCAGAGTGGGCTCAGACCTTCGACCAGGCCACCCGACCGCACCAGTTCGCGCGTCAGGCCCGGGCAGGGAGGGACGCCCTGGCCGCCTGCGCATGCGCCGTGCTGTCCATCCGCCCTGATGCCGTGCTCGTGTCGCTCGCTGGCGGCAGTGCCTACGACTCAATGTCCCGCACGGCCTTCCTGACCAATTTGCGAGGTGGCACCAGACGTCAGGCTGAGCAAAGTCCGTTCGAACATGTTCTAACCGTCTGAGGTGGCGCCAAGTTGGTGTAGCGTTGGTCGCGTCGGAGCTTTGGCATGGTGCCAAGATCAGCGGTCGTGGTCACTGTTTATGAGTCCAGCCTTGCATTCGCCCAGGCTTGGATGTTGGAAACCGCTCGCGTTAGCTGGCACAGTGCCTGCTGAGTGCCTCAAGGCCGTATGAAATAGACGCCGAATGGCAGAATGGTGATCAGATCCGTGTTGAGCACGTTTTTTTTTGTGACCGCTCCCCCGAGCTGCAGGAAGTGCTTTTGCTGCCGGTGGAAATGCTTTTTTGTGACAAGGCGCGGCTCATCGCATCGTCAGATGCCATGTTCGGTGTGTCCCAAATAAGGCCACATGACTTCATGATGTAGTACGAGCCGTGGCCGTTCGGTTTGAAGACAGAATATACGGACTGCGAGCGATTTGCACATTAGTCACACGTCCAGGTGGTATAGGGCACCGGTTGGTTTACGCATGCTTGAATGCCATACGTTGGCGGAAGAGACCGCTCATAGTTGATAGTGGAGGGACACAGTATATAGTAAGAATGTCTGGGATTGCCAACGGAAACCCACCATGTTCGAGACGAAATAGGCCATTTGCATTTATATTCATGGACTCCACACGGCAAGATGTAACAAGAGCTACAAGCTCCTTCAGCCCCTTGCCAGGCATTTGGAAAAATGTTTGGTTAACGAAACGTGCTGGATATCGCTTTTTTGTCCGTTTTGCACACTGCCGAGGCATTCCCAGCGAAGCACTTTCGGATGCAAGCCCAGAAGCTTCAACGACGGCTGTGTCACCTAGCCTTGACGTGAAGGCCAACCCACCTTGAATGACAGTTGTACTGTAGCCATGCCGGGATGTCAACAGGCATCAACAGGCGGTATGGTCCAGTTATGTCAAGTTGCAAGGATGCCTTCAGCCGTTGGGTGGAACATGAAACGGTTCGATGCGCCGGAAGCTTGCCGGGCCGCCTGGTGAATCTGCAGCTACTTTCTTGGCTTACGGCAGTTCAGGCCGGTTTGGACACGCAAGCACGGCACGTCCAGAAACGTCCAGCTACCTACGCTGCATGTGTGGTGCTTTCTGTTACATGTAAAGTTCGGTTTACGTTGAAGCAACCAGAGTAATAGTAGAGTAAGAATAATTCAGTATTCAGCTAGTGTTTGTTCGATGGATCATCAATAGGGCGCCTACTTTTTGCGGCGCCCTCCATGTTTCAATCGATCCCCATTTCACCCAATCTTACGACACCGTGTGCATTTTGCCCTTCGTGCCCCTTTCAGCCCCCTGGCCCGTGCTTTTTGTTTTAGACACCGGAATATTGCTTTTCTGCGCCCCCGAACCCTAAAAATTGCAGAACAAATAGCTTGAGTGCCGCCACATACGGCAGAGGGCCATGCTCCGCCTGCACTAACGCGCAGAAGGCACCTTTTCGTGTAAGTTCGAGTGTCGACACCGGAATATAGCTTTTCTGCCCTTCCGGACCAGAACGAATCTTGATTGACGCCCGCCCCCCATGCGGCACAGGGCTACGCTCCGCCGAAAGGAACACGCGACCTGTATTGGGAAGCCGTGTTTGTTTCGACCCCCACCGACGACCACGAGCGCGCCCGCTCATTTGAGTTCAGGCCCGTTCCCTTCGATGTATGTATATTAATATGTATGCTTGGGTCTGAGTGTATGTCTGAGTCGCTTTTAACGGTGTCGGTACTCGGACAACAGGAGACCCTGCTATCTTTCAAAGGTTATAAACCGACACGGTCGTTTTGCAGCTATGCTGAAATGGAAAACCGTTACATTTGAGAAACTTTAGCATGAGAAGGTCCGATCCATGGAGATTAAAGGCAGGTGTCAGTTTGAATAAAATGTAGAATAAAGGTAAGTAGAAGGTGAAAAACGTGACGTTGCAAGGTGAAGAAAAGGTAGAAAAAAGGTAAACAAAAAGGTGAAACAAAGCTGGAACCAGGTGAAAAAAAGGTAAGGAAAACGTACAAAAGGTGAAAAGGCGAAGACCAGGCACAGGCCACGTGGCTCGGATTTGCCTGCGCTCCCACGCCCGCCCTGCCGGGAACCTGGCGGGCGCGCGTCCCTATCGTTTTCCGGTAACAAAACGAAAAAAGGCAATAAGGTGTAAAACATGTATTTAAAACAAAAAAGTAAATGGCGCAGGCCAGGTGATCCGGGATTTCCCACACACCTGTCCTTTGCGTGGCCTTTACCTTTGTTTTACTGTCCAGGGTCGAAGTCATAACTGTTTCGTCTGGATCGCTGCAGACACTGGGGGGAAGCTGCAGAGGGAAGTCATAACATCGTGCGGTTCTAAGGGGTTCTCTATATGAGCATGTATTCGGGTTTGTGGTGCAGTTTCAAGTAGTGGTAGTGGTAGTGGTAGCAGTAGTAGTAGTAGTAGTAGTAGTAGTAGTAGTAGTAGTGGCAGTAGTAGTGGTAGCAGTAGTAGTAGCAGCAGCAGCAGCAACAGCAGCAGTAGTAATCGTAGTAGTAGTAGTAGTAGTAGTAGTAGTAGTGGCAGTAGTAGTGGTAGTAGTAGTAGTAGTAGCAGCAGCAGCAGCAGTAGTAATCGTAGTAGTAGTAGTAGTAGTAGTAGTAGTAGTAGTAGTAGTAGTATAGTAGTAGAAGTAGTAGTAGTAGAAGTAGTAGTAGAAGTAGTAGTAGAAGTAGTAGTAGTAGTAGTAGTAGTAGT